GAATATCCCCTCCCTCTACCTCTGCCTCTACCTCCTCTCTGAGATACTGCTACAGACCTTTCTGTATGCTCTGATCTCTCCCCAATTAAAGGGCAATCTCTGACAAAGTGTTTGGTATCTCCACAACGGAAACAAGCTCCAGTCTTCATTTTACAAACTCCAGGGTGATTTTTACCGCAATACTGACATGGCAATATCTGATCCTGTGATCGAGCTGATCTACTGGCTCCTGAAACTGTCATATGAGTCTGTCGGCCTTTTTGTTTTGCCTCAAATCATTTACGACTAGAAGCACCACTTTCAGTTTTATTTTGATATTGATAACCAGAACCTCGACCTCTTTTAGACTGAAAAGATGATGATGCTCCAGATCTTTTAGACTGTCGTCTCTGCTCTATCAGAAGATTCTCATTTTGTGCCATTTCCAAATCTTTTGCTTTGTTCACTATTTCCTGAAAAGTAGTCAAGTTTGCATCCAACAGAAGTTCCTTGAGTCTGGGACGAAGACCTCGAATAAATTTCTGAAATATGTCTCTTTTAGTGGGAATCATCTCTGAGGCATATCGAGCAAGTTTATTAAACTCACATTCATACTCGTACACCGATTTACCACACTGAATCAGATTAAAGAAATCATGCTTCATCTGAGTAATAAACTGCTCTCCAATATATTTCTTCTGAAATGCTTCTAAGAAAAACCGCCATATGATCTGATCTGGAGGAACACATGTCGTCACGTTCGTTCACCATATACGAGCCTGACCTCGTAATAATGAAATTACTCCCTCCAATCTTTCATCATCGGAACAGTGAAGACTGTCCAACATTATTTTCACATTATTCAACCATATATCTGCTTCTACTAGGCCTTCATTTGCTTCGCCTTTAAATTCTACAGCTCCTAAACTTTTTAATTCTTTCGGAACTGATATTCTCGAAACTGGAGGAAGAGGTGGAGGCGGAGGAAGAGGAGGTGCTACTGCCGGCTGATATCGAGCCAGTATAGCCTCTAGAGCTTGTAAGAAAGTTCCATGATCTGGAGCGGGTACTCCTTGATGTACATGCTCTCCTTGACGTTGAGGTACGTGCTCTACTTCGTTATTACTCCCACTACCAGTTCCCTTGGGAACCTCTTGTTCGGTGGCCTGTTTTATGCCTTCCGAACCCGACATCTAAACAAAAGCACAAATTTACGTTAGTAAGGAGCAGCATCATAAATAAAATCATCATACCATACCATATCAGTAATTTCGACATCCTAGTGGCATGTGCATATTTTCGACATAATATAGGCTCGGTTTAGGCCGAGAATCGACTAAATCTTTAGCTCTGATACTAATAAATGTAACACCTTTAACCCGTATACGTCTCAATATACGAGTTAAAGATGTCATATCAACTTAAATACATTTACTGAACTGAAATTTGCCTAAAAAAATTTTTCATTTGAAAACACTCTTATTCTAACTTTAAAAATCTATTTTTAAAGTATATCTCAACTATAATTTATTTCTTTATTACAAGAAAATAAATTCATTTGTTAATCAGTAATTTTACTAAACCATGTCTTTTCATGAAATATTAAAAAAACATAATAACATAATATATTATTTTAATGCATAAATACTGATAACACTAATCTAAGTAAAATAAACTAAAATAGTTCTAGTTTACTATTACAGATTATTAGAAATAAATACGATAAATAGAAATCACCGACATAATTATACATGCCACTATAAGTCAAAGGAAACATCATAGATGTCTTACTGATACTGATGATATGTATGTCTTTCCAAAAAGTGCTCCGATAGCTCCTTACTGATCGTACTTATCCTTACTAGAACCTACGCATGAAAATCATCACGCGCTAAATATAACTTAGTGAGGCAGTAATACTAAAGGTGAGAATAATTAAATATAATATCAAAATATATAAAATCATTAAAATAAAACAGACTGAATTTCTTCAGAACATTCAAACCAGATATCTCATATTGAACTTTATCATAAACCTGAAAAGAATCATCTAATAATTTTCACAAAATCATAATAAATCAGATCAGACAGAAAAAAAGTCCATATTCTTTTGTAGTCAAACACTTTTCAGAACTTTCTTATTTCATTTTTATAGCCCAAAGTATATTTTAAGAGAATATAAGATATGTGAGTCAGACTAGTGTGCACAATACAGATATCAGATCATCAGTCGGAACAGATAAGCACACACAATGCTATCACATCGGAAATAACAATATGCACACCAAGTGCATTCAGATCAGACTATATATATATATATATATATATATATATATATATATATATATATATATATATATATATATATACTAGTGTACACTCCGGTACACCACATTATATCAAAATCAGAACAGATAATCACTCCACCTAATATCATGTCAATTGTACCTATGACTCTCCATATAACATACAATTGGCTTTTTAGTCATTTCGTAATCATTTGATAAAAAAATCATATCATAAACAGAAATATATTTAATTCACATTCGTAAAGTATGACATGGGCAGTTCATACCCAAAATCATTCATAAAACTTATTAACAATATTACGGATATACTTCCATAGTCAAAACATAATTCATATATTTGAAATAAATAATGTGAGGTTGACTTATCGCAAGTCATCCTCGATCAAAATAATTAAATAAATAAACTGCACTCACCTTTGCCTCACTACAGAACTTGTATATGATAATACTAGTCACAAGCTTTGTCCTTTCCTTTCAGATCGTTCGGATTGCTAGTTTTATTGTAATCTGACAATACCAAATTATAACACAAAATATTTAAACTACATATTAGTATCATTCTAACATAAACTCATTTTGACATTTGAAAATCTATAAAATAAAATCGATAACTAAATCGATATCAACCTAACTCATAACTCCATTATAATTTCAAACCACATATTTTAAATTCTTTCTAAAATTCAACTCAACTTTTCCTTTAATTCATAATGGTCCTTCGCCATTATGATAATTGTACATTAATTACTAAAATTCCAACACTTGAATAAAATACCCAAATAATACTTCTTTATTTAAGAACTTGTAAACAAGTCCCCAAAGTTTTAGAACCTTTCGAATTCCACCATCTAACCATTAAAATGAATTCCTTTAGAATTCTTCTCAACATTTCCAATTTGTTCAAAATGGTCTCTTGCCATTTAACTTTAATTCCAAGCATCCAACAATATACTCAACATTTAAACATTACTCTTCATCTTCTAATCCATTTCAACTTAAATTCTAAAAATTTTCATATTCAAACAACTTGTACTATCTTTAAAGAATCAATATTCTGTATTGATATACACACTGGAATTTAATTCCATTTCTTCCATTGAAAAATAGACTCGAATAAGAATCTATCCATATAAATAACTCCTTCTAATTTATTCTGTACAATTTATGGTGAATTTTCAAAGTTGACTGACATAACCTGTTTTGTGCAGAATCTGCTGCTCGTTTTCTGACATTTCCTCGGTTAAAAAATCATATCTTTTTTATACACATTAAAATTGATCTCCGTTTATTTTAAACAAAACTATATTTATATAAGAACATAATATATAAAAATCACCTCCAAATAATTTTTATAGAATTTCTGGTGAATTTTCAAACTCACTGCCAAATTCAAAATCTAAACTATTTTCATTAACTTCATCCTTAAATTCTTCATCAATTCTTACAACTAATTCTTTAAAATCACTTAACTCTTCATAATCCCTAAAACACAAGAAATCAATATCCCCTTCATCAACTCAAGATGAATTTAAACAAAAACCATAACAATATTTATGTCAAATGAAAGAAGGTTTCATGTAGATGACTTATCCTTCATGTTCAAACCTTAATTCCTAACATAAATGGATACAAAAAAACTTTCTCTCACCTTGAAACATAACCCACGGCTGGAAGAAGAAAGCATGAAGGAACTTCTTGAATTTTCTATGCATATAATAACCTTTACACTTGTATTTAAAAGATTAAAAATTCATTTCTTGCAAAATGACCAAATTGCCTTTAATGAATCCTTTTATTTTCATCCATGCCATTTTTTCCCTCTAATTTAATATTATTAAAACAACTATAAAATTCTCATCTCTCAATTGTTCATTTTGACACTTCAATTTTTTAAAATTTCATTTTAGTCACTAAATTTTCACTGTTCGGACGAATCTGAAAAATTGCACTGTTCTGAGCAAAATTTCTCTGGTATAAAATATGAAAATAATATTTCCAATCCTTTTCTAACATCCTTCCAATTTTCATAAAATTTCGGCTCGATCCGATTATTTATCTAACTTTATTGATAAATAGCTTTTAACACAAATCTCGTACCAAAAATCTAATTCACACAAAAATCCTTGTTTTAGGCCAAATTGTTCATTTACATGCTAAAATATATAACTTTTAAAAATTATAAATTTCAGTCCCTACAATTTTCAAAGTTTATACTTTAGCCACTAAACTTTTAAAACTTACATTTTAGTCACTCATCAAATTTTGGGGTATTACAAAAGTTCAGTGATTAAATTTATAATTTAACCATTAAAAAATAAAGAAAAAGTCATTTCATAACATTGTTAGCGAGGAAACGGTTGAGTGACCAAGAAAATACGATGTATTAAGTTTAATGAGAAAATTGAAAAGATTTAAAGTATAATAAGGGAAATAGGAGAAAGATTAAAGTTTAACTACCAAGTTTCTAATTTACTCTTATCATAATACTATGGACGATATCGGAAGAGAGAGATGATTACGCGTGGCAACAACCTACACTGATTCTCGAGGAGCTTACGTGGCAGTTCATGGAAGTGCCAATTCATCGGGTCCAGAAAACAGAGTTACCATTGTTCTTTCACTCTCCACTTTCTGTTTGTTTCCCACGAATCGGTGCAAGCCCGAAGTTGATCCTTCAATCTTCCATTTCTTGTTTTCTCTTCTTATTTTCAATCAATTCGATCCTTCACATTTCTGGGGTTGCATTCAAAAAGACGTTTAAAAACTCTCGGATTCGAAACTGTAAGCTTCCCTTTCTTATTTGTAATTATGGGCAATAGATTTTGGGTTTCCGTTTCCCCCCATTTGTAAACAATTCATTTCATGTATGAATTTTCCATTTTCGTTTTATGTTTTGAAGAATGTCGGATTTTGGGTCCCGTTTCTATGCATGAAAATACGGATTCTGGGTTCGAGCACGACGACTGTACGGTTGTTTAACCGTTCATTGTAAATTTGTTAAGATTCTTTCGAACGGATAACACTATGTAATCATCCCAGACTAATAAAACAATACGAATAGAAATGGGTCTTTCAATAGGTGATCAATGCATGATATCATTAGCTAAAATTTCATCATTTTCTTGAAATTTCTCTGTTTTGATGTGAAAAAAAGTGTTTTTTTAGTGCTGGGGGTGTTTATGTTGTCTTAAAATTGGTTAGATTAGGTGGTATAGTGATAAGAGCAATGCAAAAGGAACATGGTTCTGCACCTACTACACCTACTTCCGCCCGAGGACCAACTACGCCTACTTCCGCCCGAGTTCGGCACCGGAAACGTTCCAATGTGGTATGTATTGTTACATGAATATATGCCTCATTAAGATTTTGATCTAGTTCCAATAAGTTGCTATGTTGCCCGGACTTTGGTGTATACTCGATTTCGATGTCCGGCGAATGACAGAATTGTCGAGTTGGGCCTTAAGAGAAAATGGAGAGTCTTGGTGACACTGATAAGTAACATAGTAAGCAATGAATGAACATCAAGGTTTATTCCCTTTTTGTGACTTGCTCTTTGATCAATCTCTTTTGCTTGTATTATGGATTTCGAAACTTAATCGACGTTTGAACATCTATGGCACGTTTGGATGTGCTCGCTTGATATGAAAGAGTGCTGTTCTTTGATGTCAGTTTAATGTCGAGATTAGCAAAACGAACGGAGATCATTTGCTCATCAACGATCACAACAAATATCGATCGATGTGGATACGTGCATCCTCGTCTATGTGGATGCTGGGGGGCTTCCTCTTGATTATCTATTTGGGGCACCTTTATATTTTGGCGATGGTGGTTGTTATCCAAATATTCATGGCGAGTGAGCTCTTCAGTCTACTCAGAAGAGCTCATGAAGATAAACGCCTGCCGGGTTTCAGGATCTTGAACTGGTAAGAAAAATCGTAACGCAAACTCGATATTGCGGTAGCATCTTCGAGACTGATATTTCTGGTGGAATTTTATGCCCGTGCAGGCACTTTTATTTCACAGCTATGCTGTTTGTATACGGTCGCATTCTCAGTCACCAGCTTGTGAACACAGTAACTTTGGATAAAATTTTCTATAGGCTTGTTAGTAAGCTCATCAAGTATCAGATGTTTATCTTTTATTTCTTATACATAGCAGGTTCGTATTTATTTTGCCCTTGAAAATAAGTAGTGCACACATGTTCTTTCTACGTTTAAGCCCATTAACAAATATTTCGTTTTAATCGTCTTACCTTCAATCATGATGGAGTTGATTAATTTGTCTGTTTGTCTTGAACTTCAAGTTTCATGTTATATTTCTTTCCCACCGAATTTGAGTCGGTTCGTGATAGTCTTAAGTTGCTTTTATCTTATATTCTCCACCGATTGAGAAGGTTTCGATTTTGTTTCGGATTCAGGTGTCATGTGGTTCATTCTTACACTAAAGAAGAAGATGTATAAATATCAATTTGGGCAGTTTGCATGGACACACATGATTCTCATCGTTGTCTTCACGCAGTCCGCATTTACCGTGGCCAACATTTTTGAAGGCATTTTCTGGTAACATGCAAATCTCATTAGTTAGTCTTTAACAGCTTGGTTACTGATTGCTATACATTTTCCCATTACTGAAATCAAAACAAGCCTTGGATTTTATTCAGGTTCCTTCTCCCGGCATCACTAATTGCTGTCAATGATGTTGCCGCTTATTTCTTTGGTTTCTTTTTCGGGAAAACTCCTTTGATCAAGCTATCTCCGAAGAAAACATGGGAGGGTTTCATTGGGGCTTCAGTTGCAACTACGATCTCGGCATTTGTGGTAAGTTTTTTTACACTATCCTTTGCGCCATCAATGGTAGTTTGACTCTGCCACATGATACAGGGAATAAAAAAAATCAGCCGGTTTAATCTAGTACTTCGATTATCCGAGGATAACCGATGTACATGATCATCAACTGAAAACAAAATTTTGTAAATGTTCGAAAGCCTATAGATCAGAGGGAGATAGATTGAATCTTTGAACAACTTTTCATTCCATGATATATCGGTGTTATTTACTAGGAATCTTTTATGCAGCTTGCAAATGTCTTTGGTCGATATCAATGGTTGACATGTCCGAGGAAGGTAATTCACCGTGGAATGCATTCATTTTAAATAAAAAAGGCGGATACTCTAATGATAATGTCCATATGACTGAAATGCATGCAGGATTTATCAACTGGTTGGCTTCACTGTGATCCTGGTCCACTTTTTAAGCCGGAGTATTATCCTTTGCCAGGATGGATTTCTGGATGGGTGGTGAGTGATCGAGAAATGGGAGAATTTGATTCTATTTTAACTCTTACATAAATGTTTCTTAGTTATCGATTTTTGCTAGTTTTATTTATGTATTAATCCGTCCAACAAAACACGATCAGTTTGGTAATTTGGTTTTAACATGTCGCAGTTGCACTGGAAAGAGGTGGCGATTTTGCCAGTTCAGTGGCATGCTTTATGCCTAAGTTTGTTTGCGTCGATTATCGCACCATTTGGAGGTTTTTTCGCAAGTGGTTTCAAGAGAGCTTTTAAGATTAAGGTGCAACGCTTCGTTTGTTGTTTGAAAATGTGTGGAAAACGGGATAGTTAATGCACTTTTCCATACCCGTTCGTACCTTCTTGACCAACCTTTTCTCCGGCGGTGCAGGATTTTGGCGATAGTATACCTGGACATGGAGGATTTACCGACAGAATGGATTGCCAGGCAAGCTTCTAGCTGTATGACTTGATTTCCGAAACACGACCGTGTCATTTCGTGTGCATTGATTAACAGCTTAATACGAGTTTAAATATTTCTATACCTGTTTCCAGATGGTAATGGCTGTTTTCGCATACATCTATCATCAGTCATTCATTGTTCCCCAAGACTACACGGTTGAGATGATAATGAATGAGGTAAACCCTTCGATCTTCTCATCATATCCGAGATCTTTTCGAAAGATACCATATCCCTTTTTTCTTTCCTAGTCTCGGGAACATGGCGGATCTTCTCGTACGAAAACCGAATATGATCTTATGATTTCTTTTCGTGTTCTCTAGGTGTTACGCAGCCTTACATTGGAAGAGCAGCAAATTCTATATAAGAAGTTGGGGCAAATATTGCAGGAGAGAATGCCTGAACTATACTGAACAAAGTTTAGACAAATGCACTTTAATTTCCTGCTTTGAAAATTTCTTGGACTGGAGGAGAAAATTGCACACCTTTCCCGTCTCGGATGATGGTCGGTACAACTCAATTACGATCTTCGGAGGTCTCTTGTACGATCGATATCGTCTTCGAGGTCAAACGGATTTAGTATTCGATGAAAGTAAATAGAGGTTTCAGGGTTAGTTTGACATGGCGTTCTTGGAGCAATGGTTAGAATGGATCTATTAATGTTTATAATGCAAATTCAGTGGCAGAAAAATGGAACACAATACAGTCCTTTTAGTTTGGAGTTTTGCATTTTAGACCCTCAAACTTGTCTTGAATATGAATTTGATCGACATGTGCTTCAAATATGTTTCTTGTTATCAAATATGTTTCTTGTTATATACGAACTGTGTAAATTGACGGTTAACCTGACCTAAGTCATTGTTAGTTTGGTTATAAATAAATATTTATTTCAAAAAATTAACTAAAATATTATTAATCGTTAAGGAAATCGGATGCTATTGTTGTTAAAATTGTAATAAACGTTAATATTATCTTAGATAAATATATATTTAATTTTAAAATTTATATTCTTTTATTAATTTGATCTTAATTTTAAAAATTTGATTACCTTTTTATATCTAAAAATTTAATCAATTTAACTTTTCTTTATAATATTTTTAAAGAAAATAAGTCAATCGAATCACTACGATGATTAAATAATTACATTCTACTTAAAATATAATAAATAAATAAATATAAAACAAGAAAAAATAAACATAAAAAAATTAAAAAATTAAATTAATAAAAATAGTTATAAAAAATTAAATTTATTAAATTATTTTAAATAGAAATATAATATTATATAAATTTTAAGTGTAAATTATAAATTTGGTAACTGAACTTTACTCTTTCTCATATTTCACTCATTGTATTTTAAATCTTTTCAATGTCCTCACTGAACTTAATACATTAGGTTTTTTTATTACTCAGTTGTTTCCTCATTAACGACATTAAAATGAGCTTTATATAGATGTAAAATGACAACATATTTAGTGTCTAAACTATCCGTTTTAGTACCTAAATTTTTATTTTTTTCAAAATCATACCTATCATTTAGTTTTTATTTCATTTTAGTACCGATCATTAAAAACTTAGCGTGTTTAGTACCTAAACTATCAATTTTGGTCCATTTTAGTACCTAAACTTTCATTTTTTTTTTCAAAACTTAACATTAAATCTTGAATGAGACACCAAAATGAAACAAAAACTAAATGTTATGTATGATTTTGAAAAAATTGAAAGTTTAGGTACTGAAACGAACCAAAATTGATAGTTTAAGAACTAAACACGTAATTTATCCCAAAGCTAATTATACTACACATTTCTACACTATAATTCTCATTCTAAATTGGTTTTCAAACTTTTGAACATTTTAATATCATCCCTTAACCATGACTCTTATTCTAAGTTGATCCTTAAACTTTTGAATATTCCAAATTCATCACCAAACTATAACTCTCATTCTATATTCTTCCCAAAACTTTTGAGTATTCCAGTTTCATCCCATAACTTTTGAATGGTTTTGAGTGATGTTATAGGAATGTTCAAAAGTTGACAGATCAAAATAGAATGAGAGTCATAGTTCAGGGATGGTTTACACAATCTTAACTATTTAAACCCTAAACATAAAACTTTAAATCACGAATTATAAACTCTAACCTATACACCTTAAAATCACAAACTCTGAATCTTAATTAAGATACGTGACATTAAAATAAAGAGTGTGATGTAAACTTAAGTTTACACAACTCTAACTATTTAAACCCTAAATCTCTAAAGCTTGAATTATAAACTATAAAATATCTTATACAACCTAAAATAAAAAACTTAAACACTAAATAAGATACATATCATTAAAATAAGCAAGATTATATAAACTAAAACTTACACAACCTTGACCATTTAAACTATTAACTTTAAACTCTATACCTTAACTTACGAACTCTAAATTCTAACTCATACAACCTTAACCATTTCATTTTAATACCCGTCGTTAAAAATTTAATGTGTTTAGTACATAATCTATCAATTTTGATCAGTTTTAGAACCTAAACTTTCAATTTTTTCAAAATCATACTTAACGTTTAGTTTCATTTCATTTTAGTACATCATCGTTAAAAATTTAATGTGTTTAGTACCTAAACTATCAGTTTTGGTCCGTTTTAGCATCTAAACTTTCAATTCCCCCCCAAAACTTAACGTTAAATTTTGAACAATGCTACTAAAATGAAAAAAAAACTAAAGTTTTTAACGACAGAGTACTAAAATGAAACAAAAACTAAGCTTTGGGTATGTTTTTGAAAAGAATGAAAGTTTAGTTATTAAAATAGACTAGAACTAATAGTTTAGGTACTAAACGTATAATTTACCCTAAAATTAATGATAAATTCTCTTATTGGTTACGGTGAAAGTCAACGAATTCAAATGTAAACGGTTGGTGAACTTAGCATGGACTTTTCTTTGTATACTGAAATGTATTTATCTCCCACCATTTTATTTGAATCAAACATCCTCACATTCTAGAAACTTTACGAAAATGATTTATATATTTTTAGTTCCTCATAATTTTTTTTAAATCATCCAATTTAACATTTTTCTTAATTATTTTATTAAGTGAGGTGTGATTAGCATATACCAACAGATTAGGATGAATTTGAAACATTCACAAGTTTGGAGGATAATTTAGAATGAATGTCATAGTTTAGGAGTGAAATTGGAGCTTTCACAAATTTAGAGACTAATTTAGAATGAGAGTAATAGTGTATGGATGGAATTATAACATTTAAAAGCTTAATGACCACTTTAAAATAAAAGTTATAGTTTGAAGGTGAGCGATGTAATTAACTCAAAAATATATTTTAAATATAAAATAATAAACTACACGGGTGGTCCCTTATGTTTTTGGTTCGTTCAATTTTGGTCACCGATCCAAAAAAAATCAGTTTTAGTCTCTTATGTTATCGATTTAATATATTTTGATATCTCGACTATTAACTCTCAATTCTCTAATAACGGAAGTGTGACTTGACAATTAAAAATTGAAAAAACACTTTTAAATGTTCTTTCTTTCTTCTTCTTCTTCTTCTTCTTCTTCTTCTTCTTCTTCTTCTTCTTCTTCTTCTTCTTCTTCTTCTTCTTCTTCTTCTTCTTCTTCTTCTTCTTCTTCTTCTTCTTCTTCTTCTATAACTTGTTCACCCATCCAATAGCACAAATGACTATCATCGGCACTCGTTCATCCAAAATGCCTCAACTTTGAACCGGTTCACTTTGCATGTTTGACATAGGAGTTAACTCTCTCAACATTATTTTATCCATCCGCAAAATTAAAACTTAAGACGTTATTTAAAAGATATCAAATTTCTTATCACACGACACGAAATGTAATAATAAACATATCCGAACAATGTCTCCGACTTTATATTTATTATATATATATATTATATAATATGATATTAAAAAAGAAAAAGAAAAGTAAGCCATGAAATAGCAAAGCAAGAATGTGCATAATAGGGTAACAACATTGTCCCATCTCCCTTTTGTTTCTCAGGGCTCTTTCCTTCCTCGCTTGAGCTTGTGCTTACCGGACCTTCTACTGTCATCAACAATATTATAATAATAAAATCTTAGGGTAAATTATACCAATGGTCCCTTGACTATAAGGCGATTGTTTTACTCCCCAACTATTAAAAGATAAAGGCATAATGCTGAAATTATCCCCCAACGTTTACCAAAATGGTCATTTTCCCACTATTCTATTTTTGGAGCATTTTGCTCACCCTAAAATTCCATTTTAGGGAAAAAATGACTCTAACATTTGATAGAATAATCATTTTGTCCCTTATTCTTTTTTCTGAAGCATTTTAATTCCCAACGTTTCATTTTAGGTTAAAAATTCTCATATTTTGGAGTGTTAATTGTGTGTTAACTAATGTTTTTCATTTAGAGAGGGAGCTTTTTGTCTCAAAGTGAAACAATAGGGACCAAAATGCTTCAAAAAAAAGAATAGGTGCCAAAATGACCATTTTGATAAACAATGGGAGACTTTTGGCATTATGCCAAAGATAAAATGGTCCTCTGCGCATTGGTTTATTGAGTCTATCGACTATTAAAAGTTACAAAATGATCACCCAACTATTCATATGTTTCAAACTCAGCCTTTTCTGTTAATAAATTGACGGTCGTCTGAGCAGGACATTAACATGTTGATTGAAATATGATAGTCATTTCAGATTTTAGGATCATATTTTATCATATTCGAGTCATAAGATTAACGTCAAACTCAAATGAACATATGAATAGTCGGATGATCATTTTGTAACTTTTATTAGTTGGAAACAATAAAAAAATATGTAACATAAACACAAACATATATATATATATATATAAACATTTGAGAGAAAAAAATCTATATCTAATCAAATTGATAAATTATCTATAAATAAATTCATACGTTAATTCAACCCTAAACCTTAAATTCGAAATTCGAAAATTAAAAGGATGAAAATTTTTACCACTCCACTAGGAGCAGCTGTCGGGCTTCCATCACCATCGTTGGAAGTGGAATTATTGGAAAGCTGATAAAAAAATTGGGCTTCTGGGGAATTGGGATCCATGTGCAAAAGCTGGCAAAACTACCCAAATATTGTGTATGGGAATCTTTAATTCCCAAGATAGTGTCATCAGCTTATTATTTCTCACAATAGGGTGATTGCTATAGGAAACATGCAAAGCTCGGCGTCTTCAGCTTTGATGGAGCTCTCGGCGTCTTCAACTTGGATATCTCGGCGTCTTCAGCAGATGTGCATTTGGAGCTCTCGGCGTCTTTGTGTCTTCAACGTGGAGACCAGCTTTGTTATGTTTAGTAGCAGGAAGTTTGCAGGAAAATAAGGAATTCATTGGAAGAATAATGCACGTGGGGACCAGCTTTGTTATGTTTGGTAGCATGAAGTTTGCAGGAAAATAAGGAAATCATGGGAAGAATAATACACGTGGGGACGAGAATGAGATGTAAAACAAACCAAACTTTGATAAAGTGAATCAATAATTGATTATAAGGGTATAAAATAATACTTATCTGATTTAAAACAAATCAAAAGCAAAAAAATATGATTGAAAACAAAGCAAAAGTAAAATAAAGGGTGTTGAATTGCATGCATAAATTACGTTTACAAAAGGAAATTAATAATGCATGAGTACGAATCAAAAGCAATTATCAATCAAT